AGTATTCAGTAAGCCTTCATGGTATTCTAGCTTCAGTGCATCTTCTTCACTGTCCTTCAGAAATTCTTCCAATGCCCTTTTTTCTTTTACAACTGTCTGGTGTACTTTCCATGCCTCCTCCTCCTCCTCCTCCCCTCTTATGATTATTCTATCCCACCTAATACTCCTGCCTATCTTCCCCACAACAGCCTTGCAAGGTAGGTTGGGTTGAGAGTGACTGGCCCAGAATATTCCCTGCCACTTACATTACCACTCAGTCCCCCGGAGACTTCCTACTAGACATACTTACTCTTTGTCCTTTTGGGGATGGATCAGGGGGCTGGAAGGCAAACTTCCAGACCAATCTCTGGGTGTTTTTATTTCCAATCCAATGGAATGGCAAAACAAATTATTCATTCAGGACTCTGTCTTCTGTCTTTGCAAAACCCAAACAGAATGGGACCAAATTTGGTGTAGTAGGCAAAGCCAGAAAAAGAGAGAGGAAGTCTGAAACAGACCGAGATTAGATCAGGGCCTACAGAGAAAAGTATTATTCAGGAAGAATTCCCCCAATGCACCCCTATGGGAGAGGCAGGAGGGCAGTAACTCAGAAATGTTACTAACTGCTCCATCCTAAGCCCACGATCATGTGACCCAGGGCAGAACACACGCAGCTGGCCCCGTGCTTCTAGTGCACACGCACACCCCCACAGAGATGCAACATGTTACTTCGTTATGCAGAACATACAAACACTTCCTACAACCACTGCAAATAAAGTGGCTGGAAAGTCTTACAGAATCTGCACTCTGTAAGCTTTCCCTATCTTGTTAATTTCTATCAAATATTTAGGGGCTCATTTAAAGCATAGCAGTATTCCTGGAAACAAAGATGATGCTTGGGTTTTACTTTGCAGCATTACCGGCTTCCCATGTTTAAATTTAAAACCTTGTTTTAAGATGTAGAAAGGAATCTGTGAGCCTATTAGCATCTACAACAAACACATTTGGGGGCCCCAGACATAAATAATTGGGAACAATTATCTATGTAGAGTTCAATTATGCCCATCTGCATATATAAAAGTTGTTTATCTGGACACTGGGATCCATATAGAGATGGTTTTAGGACACGGAAAAAAGAGCACTAATGTATACACACAACACATAATTGGCTTGTAATTAGCTTATGGAGCTCTGCCAGAAGATGTGATGGTCACTACCTAAAATGGCTTTGAATCCATTTGTAGACTAGAGATGAATCAATTGCTATTAAGTAGAATGTAGCTTGAATGCTAGATTCAGAAAATAAAGTTGCAGACTTCCATTCACTTGCAGATTTCCCAGATATATCTGGATGGCCCAGGGGAGAAATAAACTGCTGGGTTTTCGTGCAATTCAGGTTTTGGTTTTACATGTGTTGGTAGATGTCAAGTACTTCTTTCCTTACCATCGTTGAGTAAACAGCAAATTTTTAAAATACAATGACTGAAAAGGCTCCTCTTTTCTGTAGGAAAATATTTATTTGCAAGAAAATAGATAAAGCATTACATAGTTGCACTTAGGTACGTACAAAAAGCATTTAGTTTGCAGTTTCGTTTTAAACTTGTCTGCTTAATAAAAGTTTTGCTTTTTTTTACACAAAAATTCTTCCCCACTCCCAAGTATGTGAGGGCATACATACATACATACATACATATATGCATGCATAGAAGTGCACGTGTATGCATATAAAAATGGTATAGAACATATTAAACCAATGTTGTTGAAGGTATTGGCATTTTTAATTTTTACCTTATGCTTTTTATTAAATAACTGCAGTATTTTAGTAAGTCAGTTCCATTTAAATGTGGGTAAAAAATATATTTGCATATTCACGTCGCAGAAAGAACTGAGATTTTCTGGACAGAAAAATGTCAATATAGATCACCCAGTATATCAGGTTTTGGGCTTACATGATACAAATGACAGATATAATTATTAATTATTAAAAGTGAGTTCTTCTATCTCACTTTTTTGCTTGACAACAACCCTCAAGCTGGCTTATAATAACAAATGAACACTTAACATATAAGAAGCTTTGCTAAAAGGCAGTGATAATTTATGAAAGTTCTAAGGAACTTTGATGGATAGTAATATTTCCTCACCCTTAACTGGATGCAGAAAGACATAACGTGAAACCTAATTCTGCTAATTTTAGTGGGACTATGTGTGTGCACTATATAAAATCATGACCTCTATTTCAAGAGTAAGAAGAAGTTTAGCCTGAATGTCAATATCTTTATGAATGAAATAAATCCCAGTCACATTACTCCCCTAAAGTCACTGAATGTAATTATGTCATGGGCAACTGTGTCCCATTGACAACACACTTTCAGATTTTCAGTCTAAAGTACAGTACACACAAGAGAGACACATTTTAAGTGATGTATAGGGGCGACACTTCACAAAGTAGATGGGACCAGGACCAGGAAAGAATCGTGATAATTTAAATTTAAACTTTATGAAAGTTTTAGCTTTGAAAAGAAGCAAATCAAGGGCAATATAAATAGCATTTTAAAACATCTTAACAATTTTCCTTGAACATCTGATGCCTGAAACAACCAAGAAGCTTCTGTCATTCAGGGCTAAATTGAAATACATATTTCTACATACATCACACTTATTGGTACAAATAAAGATCCATCATCTCCAATAGAACCAAATTGGATTAAAAAGATACTCAAGAGGTACTGCTTAACTACCTTAGCACAAGATAACCCAGTTATCTAGATACTGTAAATTGTTATGCAGTTCATGTTAGAACCATGGAGTTCTGTAAATGTTAACATTTCCAAAGCAAATGATGCACTAAAGTCCATCCTGTTGTGCTTGAATCCTACATCATAAAGTTCAACAAAATCTTGCTAAAGATATGTATGTCCTGTCTGATCTACTATTCATTCATTCATTCATTCATTCATTCATTCATTCATTCATTCATTCATTCATTCCATATTAAATGGGTATCTTCTTTGCCAATTTATTTTTTATACATAGTATATTATTATCTCACTTATATCTCTGCACTGAATCATTTTACAGAGATAAGATTCACTAGTTCACTAGAAAAGTAAAATTAGGAATCTCCAAATCTGGTAATACTAGGATGGTTAGCTGAATATGTTTACCCAGCTAACTGCAAACTCTGCACCTCTCTGAGAAAAGATGCTAAAATGGGTCAGAAAATCCATTACATCTTGCACAGAAAATCAAGGACTCCAAAGTTGCACTTTCATTTCAATCAGGCCATAAATTGTATCTATGCCCCTGGATTCCATTGTAAAATTGGTATTCAATGTTTTTATTCATTAGATTTTATCCTATCTTTATTTTGCAGAACTCAAGTGGCAGACATAACGCGCCCACCTCCTATTTTCCCTGCTGTGAGGTGGGTTGTGCTGAGAGAGGGCGACTGGCCCAAAGTCACCCAGCTGGCTTTCATGCCTAAGGTGAGACTAGAACTCACGGTCTCCCAGTTTCTAGTCCAGCACCTTAATACTACACTAAACTGACTCTGGGTTGTATTTTATTATATATTTGTATTATTTTCTTGTATTTATTGTATTGTAATGGAATTAGTGTGGTGTGTTTCGCATTGCTTAGCAGGGGCAGGATAATTGTCTCATTGTCACTTCCTGCTATTGTAAATGCTCAAATAGTGCAGATTCTACAAACATTTAAGCATCATTTATCACATTGCCATTGACTTCCATACCTGTCCCTATGTATCCTTACCATTTTGTTCATCTTTAAACTGTAGCAAGATTGGCGTTGTTTGTGGGATTATGAAGAAAGAAAAATGGGCTCAGAAAATGATCTCCTTTTTCAGAGAAAGAATTAAATTACATTTAACTAATGTGCATTTATTTATAAATAAATAGATTATCCTTAGACAGTTCCTCCCCATTCCTTTTGGAAGGAAAAAAAAAAATCAGGCTATGTTCTTTGGAACAAAAAATGCCACCTTCTTCACCATACTGAAAAGAGGATGGAATAGGGGAAAGAGATTTACATAATATGTACAAAAGGAAATGTTGGCCTGCACAGTATAATCTTGCCTTTCAAAGTGAACCACAAACACTCAAAACTCCAAGCAGTGTTCTAAAGTCTGCACA